CCTGAGCAAGATCTTTTTAAAGGTAGACTCACCTCCATGAGGGAAAAACTGAGCGTAGATCTGCTTGAATGTTTCTTCATTGACCACACCACTGGGACACTCCTATGGGAAGGGGTGAGAGTCAGCAGGAGGTGTCTGTGGGCAGCACCTGGAAGAGTAGACTGGACCCATCCCTGGGGTCTAGGGTTCCTCATGATGCTTGGTGGGCAGGGACTGGGCATGAACCTGTGCACTTTTGTGTCTCCAAACTGAGTGTCTGGGAGGTAGCCACACCTCAGGACTGAAGCTGCTTTGTGAAATGATGAGACGTCATCAGTTAATGGGCACTGTGAGGTGGAAAGTTTGGTCTTTGGGATGAGGAAGATCTGGGTTTGGATCCCGGCTTAACCACCTTTAAGCTTCATGACTTTGCTCAAGTCAATCTTTGATCCTCAATATTCTTATCTGCAAAATAGGGCTAACAGTACCTTCCCAACATGGCTATCATGAGCTTTAATATATGAACCTACATTACGTGGTGCTGAGTCCATGGTAGATGCCAAGCAATGTCTGTTTCTTCTCCTTTCTTGATGCTATTCCCTCTCAGCCCAGTGCCCATCTGGGCATCCTTCCCTCTGGGCCCTGCTCTAACCTAGCTGCCTGCTGCTAATGCTGCCTCTTCAAGATTGGCATCCTAATGGTAGGAGACCTGGGACATGACATGCAGTCAGGGCTATTGTAGAAGGCACACATCCCAGTGCTTGTCAGATAACTTCCAGAAAGTGTTTGAATCCCTATTGGTCAGCACCTTGGAGAACACTGAGATTGTGGTCAGTTTGGAATTGACCAAGCTCTACCTGCAGATGCAGCTGGAAGGAGGGTGACCAGGATCACTTGCTTCTACCCCACCTCACTCTACCGCAGGACTTGGGAATAAGATTGCACTCTGGGAGTTAAACTTAAAAAAAAAAANAAAAAAAAAAATCAATATTCAGGATTGCATCTGACAGCTCTTAAGCTGGCCTGAGAAGACAGGAATGTGTTAATATAGAGGAAGCAACCAATTCCCTGTCCTCCCTGATTTCATCTTTCAATTTCAATGAATTCCCTGATTTAATGAATTCCCCGATTTCATCTTTGATTATATTTGGGCTTCCCAAGTGGCTCATAGGGAGAGAAGATCTCAGCAAGAGGAGAGGAGTGTCTGGTCCTACTATCAGTTCTATTTCTTATGGTAAATTAGTCACATTTAGGCTTATACATCAGGTCTCTGTGAGCCTTGTTAGGCCAGAAGCCCTAA